GAAGATATGTACAGACGTCTCTGTACCGATCCTCAAGACTCTACCAAGCTTACTCATGAGTCGTGAGACTTAGGAAACCTAGTGTTCTGATACTAACTTGTCACGACCAAAAATCCGAACCAGCGGGGTCGTGATGGAGCCTAATACCGCTTGCTAGTCAAGCCAACACTTAACTATAAATAAGGAAAATAGACTAGCATTTAACAACATAATAACATTGAATAAGAGTAAAACTCTAATAAAATACAAAATAAGTCTAAAGCCAAACACCGTCTAAACAACCTACCAAGATTTGGAGTCACAGAGTATATGAGCTACTAGAAAGGCTAAATACAACATTTGCAAACAATAAAATACTATCTGGTACAATAAATAGTAGAGAAGAAATGGAAAGATGACTTTACGGACTGAGGACGAGTGTGCGGCTCTACCTCAAGTCACTTATCTGGTATCAGCTAAGCACCTTTGGGGACTCCGCTAGTACTAATATCAGAATCTACACAAGAAGTGCAGAAGTATAGTATGAGTACAACCGACACAATTTACTCGGTTAGTATTGAGCCTAACCTCGAAGGTAGTGACTAGGCAATGAAGAGACCCTTACCATATAACTTGTACAGTTTAAAAGCAACAGGAATAACAATATATATAACATAATAATAACATGAATAAAAGCAGAAAAATAATAAATGGAGCCAAAACCAAAAATATTACTCCACATTCATCAAATGACACAACCAAACCCCTATTCAGCAGCTCAAAACAGTAGGGAAGAACCATATACGTGAACAACATAATTACAACTTACAATGAGGACTAAATCACAAACAACAACAAAATATGTATTATATATGTTATGCCGCATAATCCAATCCAATACACAACATCGTTGCAGCGGCAACCCAATCCCATGGTCATGCTATTGTTGCGGCGAGCAACTCGATCCTTATCATAACATTATCGTGGTGGCAACCTGATCCTGCATATCGATTTATATAGAATCATCTAACAATCCATCCTGACATAGCGAGGTATATAATAAAATATCGAAAACAATAGGAACCTATTTCATTAAGGAAAAGATGTACACTAGCAAGGAATAGAAGGCAATTTGATGTCCGTAACTAGTCTCACTTATATATCCCGACAAAGACTCAAACAAGGCCAATAACACGCGAACGGTCAAGTAGCCACAAAATCTAATACCGCGTAGAAGAACAAAGCATGAAACAAGTTAAGACATGTGACAAGTAAGGCATGTAACAAGTAAAGTCATGTAGAAGGTAAAAGCACGTAGCAAGTAAAAGCACGTAGCAGGTAAAAGTATGTATCAAGTAAAAATATTTAACGAGTAAAAACATGAAATAAGTAGAGGCATTTAACAAATAAAAGCATGAAATAAGTAAAGGCATGAAAAATCTAGCTCCCACTTGTATGCTTTAAACCACGACAATGCACATGCACTCGTCACCAGGTGGCCCCAAACACATAGAACACGTTGAAAATAGATCATTCACACCTAATTTTCTCAAATCAAGGTAAACCACAATATTTACCTCTTTTCGGTATAAAGTAAATAATCCAACACAGCTTTCCCTTTAGAACAAGCCTCCAAACCACTCGAATCTAGTCAAATAATACCGAAATAAGTCAAAACAAGATTTAGAAACTATCCTAGTATAAAAAAGATTTAAATTTTATCACATTTGGACAAGTCAACCCGGACCCACATGGTCAAAATCCGAAACTAACACCAATTCTCATTTATCCATTCTCCCCCGAGTCTAACTATGTGATTTATATCAAGAATGGACTTCAAATTGAGGTTCAAATCCCCAAAATTAACCCTCAAAAGTTTTTTCCCAAAATCCCAATTTCTGCACTTTAAAATACTAGATTTAGGGATAAAAATTTATGAGAATTTATGAAAATAAATCAAAACTAGGTAACAGTTACTAACTTTAATAGTTGGGATAAAAATCCTCTTAAAATCTCCTCAATCTGTGATCTAGGTCTCAAATATGGTGAAAAGTGGCATAAAATCCCGATTTTTATCCCTTTATATACATGGACGTCGGGTGTTCTTTACGTTCGCAAAGCGCCTGTCGCGTTCGCGAAAATCAATTGCCAACTGGCCATCGCGTTTATGAAGGCTTTTTCGCGTTCGTGAAGGCTGTTGCCCTCCAAGCCTCCGTGTTTGCTATCCAGAACGCGATGAAGAAAAGCCCTACCATCCCCCAAGCCTACACGTTCGCGTTTGGTCAACCGCATTTGCGAACGCCAGCTCCACCCTAGGCCATCTCGTTCGCGAGCTTCCCTTTGCGTTCGCTTAGAGTAAAACACCCCTGCCCCAATTAACCATTCACGAACGTGAGACAAGCTCCGCGTTTGCGATGCACACTACATCAGCTGCTGCATATTACGCAAGAATGGTTGAAAACTACCGTGAAACTCACCTGAACCCCCTGAAGCATACTCCAAATATCCACACAATACATAAACCTCATACGAACTCGCTCGTAAGCTCAAAATATCAAATTAACATCAAGAACCAAAATCACACGTCAAAACTCAAAGATTTTAAAGTTCTTAAGTTCCAATTTTTTACTTTTCATAATAAGCGCCAAAACGGTCTCGGGTCACCCGACACCCCAACCAAACATGCATACAAGTCCAAAATCATCATACGAACCTTCCGAAATTGCCAAAACGTCGATCCGAGGTCGTTTACCAACAATGTTGACTATAATCAACTCTAACCATTTTAAAGTTCAAAAATCAAGTTTTCTTTGAAAAATCATATCTAGACTCTCCGGATAACGAAATGAACCACGCCCACAAGTCATAAATCGTCAAATAAAGCTATGTAAGATCTCAAATCACAAAATGAGAAGCTAAAACTCAAAACGACCTATCAGGTCGTTACAAAATTTTAGATTTATCTCATCATTTTTAAAGCGCTCAACCATCAAGATTTCCACAGCTATGCATTGGTGCGATCAAGAGATAGAACTAAAATTTATTTTTATTTTTCTTTAGCTTAGTTGGTTTTTTCAGAAAGCTGTATATCTTTCTACCCCTAAAATATTTTTAGAAGACAGTTATCCTGCATATGCTTTTGAGTCCCTACTTAAATGTCACTTGCTCGTGATTAAATTCACTTCTCGTGGTTAGACATAAAATTCAAAAAATCAGACTGAATTAATTTGGCACTTCGGTTTTAGTTCTTTGGTTACTTCGATATTGATTCAGTTTGAATTTTTAAAAGTTAGATATTTCGGTACGGTTCTTGATTTTGAAATTGTGGTATTTTGATAAACCGAAATACCGAACTTTTTAGTAGATAACCTAATAATCTTGTAAGCTTAAGCCAAAATATGTCGTCCCAACATATACTATATTGGTTTCCCTTACCACTCATGACCTAGAATATATGTATTATTCTGCTTTGTTTAAGGTTTTCGTTAAATGATACCAGTTTTTCATATTAATTGATGGTCAATGTTTCCACAAACCTTAGCCACTCTATTAGGTGCCATCTGCTTACCGATAGATGCATCTATTACACTTCCAGATTATTCTTTTACGTCTTGTATGCTCTCGTGCAAAAAGTTGAACATTGTTTTCTTCACTTGTAATATTATAATATTATAAAGAACTTGTTTAATTTTTTTAACTCGTTTGTACTATGAAAACTAAAAATAACAACTGATATACTGAAATGCCAATGGAGGAAAAGATTACAATGCCGTATAATTGGGAATATCGAACCATATCAAACTAATTTGGTAGGATATTTGATATACACAATTAATAAGTCAAATATTAAAGTACCACACTGAAATTCTTCAATACCAAACTGAAGTAGCGATCGTCCATCCCAACTTATAAAAGAGGGAGAAAATGGGTATAATTCAAAGATAAAGACGAGACATACTTCACTCGGTAAAGCATGATATGAAAGGTGTGTTTGGGATGGGGGAAATGTTTTTCGTCGAAAAATGTTTTCTAGAAAAAAACAATTCATAAATATTTGATAAGTAAGTAGAAAATATTATTCTAAGAGATAAAAAGTAGAGATGGGTCAGGGTTCGTGGTTCATAGTGGGGGTGGGTTAGGATTTGATGTGGGAGTGGCGTGTTAGGGGTGTGGGGAGAACATAATTAGCGTGATTGCCATCTATTGAACTTGCTTCCCTAATCTTTAGGGAAGCCATTTTCTTCATTTTTAAAGAACTTATCTTCCTAGAAAAAAAATATTTCTCAATACATGAAAAAAAAAAAAAA